AATAACTAAAAGTCTAGGACCTGAAGAGTTATGAGGTGATTTCGTGGAAGGGTGGTATCTTATAAATCATTAAGCTCCCCCTGAAAGGTTTTAATCTCTTCAAGAGCCTTCCCAGAAGTGATGAGACCAAACAGTTTTGGTACTCCACAGATGTCACCCTTCAAGAGGGAAGAGCGGTTGAAACTACCTGACCCACTCAGTTCATTACAGACATAATGGAGGAGGCCAGATTCAGGTCACCCAGTGCATCTTTCCAGGTCCTCTAGACCATGCAGCTTTACCTCACGATCTCACTTTCAAAGTCAGCCTGAATGTAACAGTATCATCATGGTTGTCTGACCTCTTTCCATTTCCCTGAGAAAAAGGTAATATAATGACTTACCCATGTATCCATCACCAAGTCTGAAGCCTTTTGATAGAGGTTCAGAAGACATGGAGGAGATCAAAAGCCTCTAGAGCTGGATTAGTGTAGGTCTGCTGTCTTCTTCTTAGTGACCTTCCCAGAAAGCAGAGATTGGAGCCTAGGAGGTAATTGGTGAGGCCATTAATCCCCAGTGACATGTTTTTGAGCAGCAGCCAGGCCATAGGATGTTATTCAACAGCCACTGTCTGCATGCTCTCTCTGAGAGGTACTAATGAATCCTGACAGTAAAGGAGAAATGCTGATTCGTACTGATATGTCTGGGTCTACTCGGCTGGTCTCCAAAAGGAGGTCTCCACAGGTATCACAACCCCGGCACATGGCTGAGGCTTGCGCTGGGGGATGACACCTGTGACTACAGATGGTGACGCTCTACTCTGGAGGACAGCTGTTAGTTGAAATAATCTGCAGCGGTTTTTAATAGAAGTGTTCTTCCCCTATTCAAGTAACAGAAAACTATGGGTTTGCTACTAAAGCCAAGGAATGGTAAGGGTAATTCCTCACCAAACTCCCTGTCACTGATGATTCTGTAGCTGCAGGTAGCGGCACACGCAAAGAGCAGTTTATGTGTCTTGTTGTGGTCAAGTGACAAGATCAACAACAACAACATCTTCTTACAGCTTACCCAGTATATACAGTGGCTCTCAGGCAGAGATGGGGTGGTGTCCTTTCTGTGTCTCCATTACAAGTTAGCCAGGCTTTGTCTCAGTCATTTTCCCTTGCACAGAATTTATCATACTCACTTTCACAGCAAGGGGTATTTAAAGAAGATCCTTCTGGAGTCTCTGTCTTTTCCAGACAGCATCTCCTTGAAGTCTCAAAATTTACTCATATTCTTGATAAAATGCTCCTATGATTCTTGTTTTTAAGACCTGTCTCTTTCCCTCCAACATAGCAGTTATTAATAGGACAGTTATCTACCATAAGCAATTTGGAGCTTTATTCTCTATATTAAAAATGTCTCCTTTCACTTAAAGCTCTTCCTTTTTCACTACTTTAATTCCATTAACTTCAGCAAAGTTTACTTTTGAGTCTGGCTTATTTATTCTTCCTGCTTTCCCTGTCTTTTGAAATGTTTGTTTTGTAAATGCACTTCAACCTAGAGGAGAGAGAGGTTTAGGGTTAGAGATATAATCCTTTCCTAAATCACCCTATTTTATCTCATGGGATCAGAAGCATAGCCCACTAAATAAAGAGATTCAGACAACATGGTTTGTATTCAGGTTTTGAAGTGAGTTAGCTCCACAAAGTCTAGAGGAAACCATTTACTTTGTTTTTACCAAATGAAAAATACACTTATAGCTGAAAATCATATACAAGCATTAAGTATAATTATTGGTCAAACACTATATCAATCTGTAATCTACAGTCCACTGTGAAGTAGAGGGAGGACATGGTTTCAGTCTTTGGGTTCATTCCCTTTTGTAAATTCAAGTCAGACTATCAGCACGAATTTGACATTGCTTTCACAGTTTACGCTTAAACACATCCCCTGGCAAATATCTTGCTTTTCAGATACCTTAAGCCTTCTGCAAGCAAACAAATCATGGAAATTAAATAGTAATAAAGCTGTTGATAGCTTTGTATAATAAATTTTATCTACTATTTAAATGGCAATTATTTCCAGAAACTTGGCAATTGTAGCCATACAAATGATGAAATTGATTCCAGTCACAGCCCATCTTTCTTTGGAAAGGAAATACCAGTAGTGTTTGAAAAATGGATTATTAAGAGCCTTGGTTTGCTCAAGGTGGCTCATATGTTGTATTTGCTAACACAGCATCTTGCTGGAAGAAAATAAACGCAGCTTTTCCTTAGCCCAGATTATTTTCTCCACAAATCTTTGGAGCAGGAAATAAAAAACATCTAATAGTTCTGGGGCATGTGGAATTAGTTTAAGAAAAGCTGAGCCCTGATCCTTCTGACCGCCTCCACTTTCCTGTGCTGTTTTGTCTATTCCTGCCTCAGAATATGTCAACAAATTTTCTTTAAGTTCAGAAGGTACAGGGAGGGTGGAAATAGTGATTCTTTTTCTGTCTCCTTCTGTCTCTTGGTTTTCTTTTTTTTTTCTTTTTTTTTTTTCCTTTTCTTTTTGTGTGTGTGTGTTTGTTTTAAGGGGATGATTTAAAGCAGATGTATTTTCAAAAAAGGTACAAGTTTGTCTTGTAAAATATTTGTTAAGAAAAATAGCCTCAGGACCTCTTAAAGTAAACCTTGTTGAGTTCTATAGATATCACAAAATGTACTATTTTTGTTACATTGACATAATTCTTTTCTCACACAATTTGATTATAAATCAAGATAACTTTACAGAGAGGACTGAATCTAAACTGAAGAGACAAAGCTGATGTGTGTTTAAAAAGCAGACAAATATCTGTGATTTCTGTACGGCTTATTGCTTACCTTTGCAGTACTAGAAAACAGATTATTCATATTTCTCCAGTACTGGAAGTATGTTTTACATGAATGAATAGAAGAGATATTTCTTTCCTGATAAGAAATGAAATGCACTGGATATATGCTGTACCTCCTCGGAAGCTGTATACCTGAGGACAATAATATTCTCAATGCCAAGGCTCCAAGGGTGTCATAAATACTACAGAAATTATATCAAAAATAACTCAGTGTTGCTATACAGCACTAGGATATGGTTGCTATTGGTGGCTGTGATTATGGTCATCCACAAAAACACTTCTTTGTGATGTAAATAATTATTGCTCTTAACTGAGAACAGAAGGCTTCTCATGTTGCTTGAGAAACTGACTTTTCTCTTGTCTCTGAGTTGTTTTGTTTTCTTAAATTATGCTCCATCACTGGAAGTCGTTTTGCCATTCCTGTCTGTCTCTCTCTCTCTCATGATTGTTTATTTTTCGACAATCTGTGTTTTGTAGCTAAATCCTTTGAACATCTTTACAAGAAATCTTGACAAAATAGTTGCAGAACCAGTGTCACTAGAATAACTTCAGATGAGTTAATGTTAAATGATGTTTTCCTCATTCAAACTGGTTTATAAAAACAGCAAAAATAACAACAGAATAAGTGAACCAACAGACTGGCTGCTAGTTAAGCATCAGAAAAAGAAAAGAAAAATGAAATGCAACCTATGCTCCTTTCTTAGGTACTAGACTTCGGAGTCGATTGCAGAGAACAATGTAGTATGTGGGTTTTGGTAGCAAAATGCTAAGGAACTATTTTGTCAAATATTTTGCTGCCTTTTGCAAGTCTTGAAATATTTTTCATTACATTTCTTATTTTGAGATAATACTAATTAAATTTGAACTAGATAGTGTAATATGTCATTGATCCATTGGAAATATTGAACATATAGTTTTGACTTTCCATGTGGCTCAGGAAAAAAAAAAAAAAAAAAATTGTCAATTTTGTCTCTGGGGCCTAATTTTAAGCCCATCTAGTTCTAATTTTGTGAGAGTACATTTGGCTTTGTGTGGACTTGATGTTACAGCCTGCCTGGGTTTAGAGATAGAAAGCTTTTGGGGGAGAAAGAACAGACTGTCAGAGCAGGAGGCGGCCCTGGTGAGGGAAGGTCCATGGAGGGCATTGATGTGCCATGCAGCACCTTGTTGGTGTCATCCACACCACCGATAGATATATGGTTCTTCTAGGAGGCAAAGTCTGCTCGAGTTGGCAGACAGGAGGACAACATTTGCTGTTGGCAAATCTGTCAAAGACTACAGTAAACATCTTAATGAGGGTGGGAACTTTTTGGAAACAAATGGTCACTCTGTTTTTGGGAAAACAAAACAAAACAAAATGCATTTTTAAGAGAAAAAAAAAAAAAAGGAATATTGGTGTTAAAGAAAAGAGAAATTATGGTTAGCCTTTTATATTTCCATAAATTGATGGCTTTAAATCTGATAGCATGTAGAATACTAAATAAGTAAGGAGATAATCAAATGGCTTCCTAGAACGATGCCTCTCCTGCATCTTTTTGTGGCTGCCATTTTCTTAGCTTCTGGAGCCATGGACTGCACTGACCATACAGTGAAGGCAGTCGGAGCTTTGTCTCCCATACATTTCACGAACTGGAATGTTAATACAGAAAAAGGGGGAAGAGAGAAGCATGCTCACTGTCCAAGCAGAATGGCAGGCAGCATGGACGTGCAATCGTGGCTCTTCTGGCACTGCTGTGCACATGGTGGGAACCAGGCCTCAGACCAGGCCGTGAGAGCTTCAGGTTTCCCATGCAGAGCTGCTATCTGCCTGGCACATGCATCAGCAAGATAACAGGCGTCCTGAGAAAATGCTTTATTCCACCTCCTGGCTCTTGCTGCGTGAGAGGCTGCACAACGTAGGTAGTCAGCACCCTCAACACATTTATAACCTGGAGGCCTGGGATACTGAAATGCATGTTTAGGAACTGATGCAACAACAACAAAACCATGTGGTACTAAGTATATATACAACATCTATTTCTGATATGCACTGTTTAAAGGACAAAGGGATAAATCTGTAACACATGCACTTTTGAAACTTAATGGTTGGATGCATGTCATGCTTCCTACAGCCAGATATGTTTTATATACAATTACTACAATTACTACTTTTTTTTTTTTTTTAGGACAGTGAAAAAAAAGGATTTATGAATAAACTGTATGCCATCCAGGAGGTGTGTGTTAGTGTCCAGAACGTCCTTGATGAAGTGGCTTCCTTTGGAGAAAGGGTAAAGAAGTAAGTGCTGTTGTGGGTGCTGCATTGCTCTAGTGTTAGACTCTCTACCCCTTACCCCACCTCCTTTTTTTTTTTTTTTTTTTTTTTTTTTTTGAGGTGGGGGGGATGGATTCCAGTTTTGGCCAATCTGTTGTTAAAAATCATCTTAATTTACTTTGTTCTATGGCAGCTCTGAGTTAATAACAATCCGGTCATGTTTGTTTTGGAATTTGGAAATGTATTAATTGGGAAAAACAAAACAAAACAACAACAACAACAACAACAAAAACAGAAGTAAGGCACTGAAGTGAAACAGAAAGAGAATCTTATTGTAAATCCTAACAGTAGTTATTTAAAAGTACTAATAAAGATGCAGTTTTGAGAAAAGAAATAAGCAGAGCTGAATTGGGGTATCAGAATTTAAGGACATATGTATGTTCAGTTGCGGGAAATGTTCTATTTATGTAAGTTAGAAAAACCTTTCCTCCTGGATTATATGTAATTTATAACAACTTATACATGATATATAAGAATTGCCAACAAATTTAGACATTAAGCAAGAGAGGTTTTGAGATTTATGACAGGAAGTTTGGTGTATTTTTGGCATGGTCACTGAGCAGCAGTCTAAGGATTTTTATTTGAGATCAGAAGGGTTCCAGAAACGCTGTCAGCTGAGAAGCAGGGACAGAATTGACTTGGCTTTCTGCCCTCCGAAAGCTGAGAGCAGAGCCTTGCAAGATGAAAAGTTGGGAGCAGAGCATTCACAACCTCCTTTCCGCTGCGGGCAGGAAGGGTATGCAGAAAGGTGACCTGCAGGCTGTACAGAGTTAGAAAACCTTCACAGGAGGCTTTGCTATAAAGTTTCTGCTGATGCGCTCAGCACGTCTTAAAGGAAAGTTAAAGCTGTGTATTTCTGCTTGTTTTGGGTATGCTCTATGAGCACAAGGCAACCTTTTTTTTTTTCCCTTCCTTTTTTTTTCCACTGCTCCATGCAACGTGCCGTGCCTTGGTGTTCCCAATTATGAGACCACAGCTCATGCAAAAGGATATGGCCACAAAATAAATAATGTGTGTTTTAAGAGAATTTTAGAAAATTGATACATTGGGTGGAGGTCAGCCTGCAGGGAACGTAAGAGTCATCTCTCCTCCTGTTCTGCCTTGCTTTTTTTAATCTATCAGCAATGGCAAACATATCAGAATCAGGATAAAGAGGAGGTTGCCACTGATGTGTTTAAGAGCAAAGGCTCTAATGGGAAAACCTGGGAAGCATTCCCATGGGGACGCTTCCAAACAGGCTGCATTCACAGCAGCAGAGGCAGATGTAAGCACATTATATTGCACAAGTTTTCCAGACAAGCAAAATGAGCCTCTGTGAAAGAAGTCTTTTATCAAAAGGCTGCTTACGGAAGTTGCCTTGATGATTAAGTTTCTCAAATCATGCACTTTGGAGGTGGGGTTTGTTCTATTATATACCAGATGAGAGGAACAGAATTTTCTAAGCAGAGTGAGACCGAATCTTCCTATAAATCTTTGTAATTTGTTCCTAAAACTATAATGGGAAACCTGTACTGAATGCTGTGCTAACACAGCACATAAGGAGGTTTGCTAAGTGAGGAGCCAGTGTTCCCACACATGGCGTGTCTGTGATCCATTGCACAAAGCCGAGTCACAGGAACATGAGCAGACCCTCAACCTTCTGTTCATCCCAAATGCATGCAGAAGAGGGGGAAAGAGCAGGTGTCCCCTGAGGAGAAAGGGAGTGATCCTACACCAAGTGACACTACATAATGTTCACTCTGGAGACATGTCAAAATTGCCAGGGAGAAAAGAAGACAAATAAACACAGGAAGCCAGAGCTCATTATGAAAAATATGGCTAGCAATTCAGATAATTGCAATTATTCAGCCAGAGAAGCCAAAATAATGTAATCACACTGATTGGGCATATAGTTAGTGGTAATACTTTAAAGAGTATCATCAAGCTACTTAGAGCCAAAGCCACATTTTCCTTCTGGATAAATGTCATGCTACACCTTTGACATGGTGGTGCCTTCAAGAAATGATCCCACTTAGCCCAGCTCCCTTTCACTGGAGATCCCATGGGACACATGTATTAATTGGCCATCTGGCCTTTCTCTCTTCCTTGCTAGCAGAGGTTGGAGGGCCACAGCGTGGCTGTTTCAAGAGTTATTAGCTTTCACCTCCTCCCTGTCCATACCTCAACCTCTGTAAAATGAGGTGATCAGCAGTTTTTTATCACACCATAGAGTTTTGGAGCCTTATTAAGGACTTTTTTAATATGGGGCTTTTTTGTAAAGTGCCCTGAAACCCTGATGGGATCCCAGAAGTCTTATTCCTTTATTTGTAAAAAAAATATGCATTTGATTTGATTTTATCTGGAATGATCAAGTTTTTTTCTTTAGCTGTTCCTGTAATGTACTTTATCTTACGCCACTCCCTTGTATTTACTTTTTTACCTTCCTTCCTTTTCCTCCTTCTTCATTTTCCCACTCAGAGTAGGTGTTTTTGTCTTTCTTTCATCCTCTGCTGTTGTATTACCCCTGGTTTTGGGACCAATTGTTCTCTCCCCTCCTTTTCCCTAATGCTTTACCTACCCCTATTCTGGTCAGGGGAAAATGAGTGGAAGACAAGGACCTGTGCTGCCTGCACTAGTACATTTGCAGAGACAGAAAATGTTTGTTTTGTCCAGTGCCTGGGGACAGGCACTGAAATTTTCATAAAGCCAAGTAGTGCTTCCTGTGGAAGACAGGTGCAGCTGGGCCAGGGAGAGGTGCCATCCAGTGGGGAAGTGTGTGACACTGGGACCTCCTCTTATTTTCACAGCATCATAGAATGGCTCGGGTTAGAAGGGACCTTAAAGGTCTTATAACTCCAACCCTCTGCCATAAGCAGGGATGCCACACACTAGATCAGGTTTGCCAGGGCCCCATCCAGCTTGGCCTCGTACACCTCCAGGGATGGGGCATCCAGGTCCAAACCCTGCTCTCGATGGTGTCCAGCGCCCATGCATTCATTTGTAGTTTCAGTTCATTGTCATCGATGGAAACTGGCACTCCTCCCCCTTCCTGCCCACTATTCGTTCTTTTATTGACTCTGCTGGGTGACCAGTGCTCTGACTTTTATTAATTTTTCACTTAGCACATTCAACTGGACTGTTCCTTTCTTGAGCTGGCTGGCAATAGTTGCCCTCTGTGTGTTCACAATCATCCTGTATTTCATTCCACTGAGATACATTGTCCTTGTCTGGGGTAAGTAAAGCCTTTTTTTAACTGTCTGCACCACTTAGAAAAAAATGTTTTTTAAGGGATGAATTATATTGTCAGTACTTTTCTGTATTTATGATCATGAAGCTGCTCCGTGATGGAAACAGACAGGTTAGTTAAAAATCACAACTGCGTAAAGATTTAGGCCCACCTGCAAAATGCATTTTTCTTGGCTGGCATTCTAGACTTCATCATACTATAAACATGTAGCCATGAGGATTCTTCATATATCAAAGTGTAGCTTTGTCTAGATATTACTCTGATTTATTTTCACCACTTATACACAAACAGAGGCATTTCAATCTATATAGTGCATTTAGGACAGTATGCCTTTTTTACTGCAGTAGTTTATCTTGTGAAAGTGTATGTAAACGTAGCAACAAGAAACCTGTTTAAAGGGTCACCTTTAGTCTGACAGAAAGGTGCATGGGCTATCTGGCCAGTTGATAATGAACAGAAACTGAGAGGCTGGGGCAGGGGACTCTGGGGAAGGGAGGGGCACTGTGATTGAGCCAAGCTCTCATTACTTGTCCTTATATTTATCCTTTTTCCTGATTTTAAACAGTACCATTACTTCATCTGTTGTAAATAATGCCATAAGTCTGCATTTGTTCATTTTAATACATCTTACATCACCAGCAGCTGTACCCTTACTCAGTCATGTAAACCTGTGAAGAGTTAAATCTTTCTGAAGAAAATAATCATGCCTTTATGTAAAAACAAAACAAAACAAAACAAAAAAACTTTTGAATATTCAGGACACAACATAAAATCATTGAACTGACTGAAAATTATGCTTATAGTGTATCAGGCAGAATTATTACTATTCATACAGTCTTCACAAGTCAGTGCATCAGAATATATAAAATTGGGAAGGATCGATAATGAAGATTTTAACAAAACAAAATATGGAACTGAAAGAAATGACTATATGGGCTTAGTGTTAAGAGTTGCCTCAGAATTTCATTAATTCCCCAGAAACCCAACATCACTTGGGTACAACCCAAGCTCCTAGTTTATTACCAAAATTGCATGGTTCCTCGCAGAGACAAGATGGTAGGTCTTTTGTTTAAAGAACTTGATCAATGTCCTTGTTCTGCGGTTTCTTGGACACACCTTGTACACTCAATTTCATACATTCCCTTGATTTCATGCAAGAAATTAAGCTTATAATACCCCTCCAAGACCCACAAAAGTATTAAATCTGCATTGTTGTGTGATAGGCTATACTGACACTCATCCCTGGCAATACCTTGGAAGGTACTACACTTACCCACAGATGTAAGCTCATGTCTCTGTCTCAGGTAAACCAGAGCCTTGACTTCCAAACTCAAGTCCATGCCTCCCAAACCATTGATGAATAGCAGAATCACTGTTTTAGATGCACCTTGCTCTCTTCCCCTCTCTCTTTCATTTCCACCTCTCACAACTTACCTAGTCATACAACTTCTAGCACCTTTGGCTCATTAGAGGTTACAGCTGCATGGTTTTCATATTCATTTCAGTTTAGGCAACTTCTTGTTCAGCATATGTGTGGAGATACCTTCATTAGGTACCTCCACATACCTTCATTTCCCCTGCATCTTGCTGGGAGATGAGAGAGGTACTGCATAGCTGTTGTTCCAGCAACCCAGACCTCCTTGGGGATGTAATGCGTTAGTGCAGAGCCATGTCTTGCTGCATGAAGGGAGCAGGTCTCCTTTCAAAAAGGTCTCATTCCAAACAAATGCCTGTTTTCTCTGTTATTTTGTGTTTCTAGCCTCCCCTGTGTACATATATTTCTTCATTCTATGCATATATCCTGCACTTAAAAGGAACGATCGCCGTGGTTTGAGTTTCCATAGGAAACCAGGCCACTCTGTGGTGGCATCTGCCCATTTCATTCTTTGGGGAGGTGTGTGTTTTCTTTTGTTTTGTTCTTTTAATGAAAATTCCTCCATACTGTAGCTGGGCTTATGTATAGTTGTCTTTCTACTGTGAATCCACAGGGGCGGCCCGTTTTGGCCTGCCCTGGTAAGAAATCCTTGGTTCTTTGCTTCCTATCCCTGTTTCTCACTCAGCAGACTGTTGGTCCTTGAACTTGTGATGCATCAGCTACAGTGGAGTAGGAACCCCCTCTGCACTCTAATCCCATGCATAGCAGTGCACGGCCCTGGCAGCTGCTACAGCTGTTTATATGAAAGAATATAAAGAAAATAACTTCAAACTGAAAAATTTCAAGCTTTTAGAAAAGATATAATCCTCTAGTTGTATTTTACTTGTCCTGTAGCATCCTGGATCATCTGTTCTGCTCTTCACCTTTCTCAAGCCCTGACTGTGATTTATTCATGCATTTGCTTTCACAGGGAGGCTTGCTCTTTTCAGTATGAGTAACAAATGATAAGGCAAGGCCAAACCAAGCCTAGAATTCACTAGTGGGTGGTCTAGTGGCCATGTGCAATAGACAGTGGGGTAGACCTTGAATTTCTCAGTAATTTGCTGGTGTAAAGAGTCTTCTTTAACAAATGTCTTTGAATCCCACATATTCTATAACAGTACTTATTGTTTAATCTAGTGATAAAAGGATTTTGGTGATCTCCTGTCTTCACCAAATTGCTGAGAATTCATTCAGTGGACACCCCTGACTATTACCAAGCCTACTGCTAGTGCACTGTGTCCTGAAGCTTAACGTCCTTGCTAAAGCTTTCTGAAAGGCCTAGGCACCAAAGACTTCTTGGAAGATAAACGGGATTATCTTATCTCTGATAGCCTTGATAAATTACACAGAGCAGCCACATTTTCAAATGCTGTCCTAGCTTTCTGCTGCTCAAGCAAGAATCTGTGCAGTTTGTACCATTCCTGGCCATGATTTAGGTGTGTTCTCCCAGAGCCCACACACGAGATTCTTCATGGTATGTAAACAAGTTTAAGTTAAAAGCCTACTTTTAGCATAGTTTGGGGAGGATTTTCATGGTGCCTATGAATGCTAATTGTCAAACTCTAAGGCTATGAAGTCTGGAAGAACCATTGTGTCCATTGGATGTGCCATCAGGTCATCTCTATCTGTCATCTTCACACAGAGGTTTATGAAATCTCTTCTTAAGCCTTCACATGATGAACTGCTTCCCATCTGATTCACCATCCATAGCATTAAAAAGATGTTCCTTGCATCTAGCCTGAGTTTTCTATCCTGCTAGTAAGCCCTCTGTTACTTGTCCTATCACCACAGAGATATTCCTCATTATTCCTCTCATTCTTCCATCTTCTGCGTCATAACCATGGTTTCTGTTGTAAGGGGAGTTCTCAGTCAAATTTGTTTTAAAGACAGTATTAGAGGAATTAAGTACATCACTTTACCTTGAATCACAGGGAACCACAACAGCAGATAATGGCTTTTAGAGCTTGAGTTTATGGTTTATGCATTAATTAGTTAATGCTACTGTCAGACTTTGAAATTGATCCTAAGATCTTTCTCAGTATTTTGTCATTAAATATATACACAGTTTAAAAAAATGGTGAAAGTAACATGTGAATGCTCACTTTTGCAGGCATCAATAAATTTACGAAGAAGCTTCGAAGTCCATATGCAATTGATAACAACGAGCTGCTTGACTTCCTGTCCAGGGTTCCTTCAGATGTGCAAGTGGTGTGTATATTTTTAAGGTGTCCATACAGTTGCTAATTTAATATATGGCATCATCATTTTCTGTTTTTTGTTTGTTTGGTTTTGTTTTGTTTTGTTTTAATCTGATTGTTTTGATTTGACCTTCACTTTCTTTGGCACAAAAAAGAAATTGAAACTCAAGCTGGGGATAGTCCGTGAACCTTAGGGAGTCTGTGGTACCTTGTCCAGTGAGGAGTTAACTACTACCTCAGTTATACTTAATGGGAAATCAATAAAAAGACAAGTATTTGGGAGATGGTAGTAGGTGCTAGAGCTTGTGTTAAGCAGCCTCCAGACTGTGTAATGTGAATCTTATTGGGATGAGGCACTGCAAGTTTGTTTTTTTTTTTGTTGGAAATGTTGCTCCCTGAGGCCATTAGGACATGCAGACAAGCAAAAGAAGGATCAAATGATGGAGGAGCTGCACATGGGCAGAGTCACCAGCAGGCAGCTTTGCTCAGTGTCCCAAGTACTTCACAGCCTGTTTTTTCTAAAGTGAAAAATTTTGGCTACAATTCAACTGTGACCATAAAATTATTTAAAAGTGAACTAGTTATGAATTATAAGCTTTTATAGTGCAGTACACAACCCCTTGTGAAGGTGCAAGCATTAAAATATGTTGGGCACATAAATCATCTCCAGTATCATGAAGATTACATGCTGTCCATCTTTCTAGGTAACAATTTCAGTTCAGAGCTGGCTTGAATAGGAAGCATATGCGCATATGTCCAATCTGAATTTGACCCCCTCTGTGGTAGGCCTTTGAAAATAAGTATGTTTTTAGGAAAAAGATTGCAAAGAATATTCATCCAAAATGTTAAAGGTGATAGTCTTTATTTTCTGTTACATCTCACAGGGGTAAAAAAAAAAAAAAAAAGGTAACCTTCTTAAAGATTACATCAATACAATGTTTTATCTCCAGGCACAATTTTCGTAATGGTATTTTTTCTCTTACTTTAGGTCTGTTGTTCTGTTGTTGTTGATTCACAGCTGTAGACCCCATATAGATTGCAAGGGGATAGTTTTCATTTTTTGTTTTTGTTTTTTTTTTTTTGCCTTGGAAGAAAAAATAAAAAGAAAAGAAAAGAAAGAAAATAAATAAAAAGAAATCTTTCTTTCTTCCTTTTTCTTGCTGGTGGCCACCTGACCAGTTTCTGAACATTGTGTTTAAACAGGTGCAATATCATGAACTGAAACAAGATCCCAGTCACAGCCCAAGCAAGAGGAAGAAAAACAATCCTGGCTAGCCAGCTTCATGTATTGAAGAAACTAGCATCTGCTGGGGGAAGATAAAAGGAGAAGCCTACAGCCTAAGCAGCGTTTCCTTTCTCTAAGCTTTTTATTTATTTTGCCTTTTTATCTAATGGGGAGAATTTGTAAATACTGTATAAAGGCATTTCTCATTGACTATATACTTAGCACTGTAAAGACACATTTGATGAAGGTTTCGAGTAGGGCTTTTGCTGATTGAAAGGCTTGTTAGAAATAGTGTGACACGTTAAAGAAATCAATGAAGAATGGTAAACACGCACTGCTACTCAATGGTCAGAGATATCTGAAATATTCAAATCATGATGATTAAATCTACAAAGGGTGTAAATTTAAATCTGACTCAAAAATACTGTAAAATTTTATTTGTGAACCTTAGTATTTTTATCCAGTGAGCCACCATTACAATTTTCTATGTTTTATACATCTCAGCAGAAACACAATGTAGTGAAACCTACTGCACTTAAGTTTTAGCAAATTTTTTTGAACTCCAGACTGTGGTGTTAACTCCTGGAGCAACATATTCCTGTGCAGTAGGGCTGCCTGTAAGCTAAAGAGAAACACCAAATGCAGATGTCTTTCTGGAGCTCCCAAAAGAATTTCCTGCCATTTTTATCATTCCATTATAAGACCTAAAAATCTCTGTCTCTCTCAAAATACTGCCAGGTTTGTAATTGATTGCCTATCTGATTTTTTTATACGTACCAGTAATCTTCATTTGTACTACATAGTTTAGTGAATGAAGTCCATAGTTCTGCTGTAATGGAAATACTATCAAACTAACTCCATATTGCTTTGGGTGTCATGCTATGAACACCTTTTGTGCACATAACTATTTTAATAGAGAAATCTTGCAGAAAATGTTTTTGCTTTCAAATCACAAGGTCATACTTATATGCTTTATTATATAACACATTACCTGTTACCAATGTGAAATCTAGTGTAGAGGAAAAAATGCAGTTGTGGTTAAACTGATATACCAGTTTTATTTCCTTAGCTAATAATGTAGTCAGTTCTGATAACTGTGCCCTACTGCATGGAAACTGCGTTATTTTATAAATTGAACAAAACTTAGAGTAGGAAGGTTTACATTTCAGAGGTTTTAGTGGCCACTTCATAACGAGTGCTTGGGGATATATTCTGATACCTGCTTGTAGACTTTCATGCTCAGGTCCCCACATAATGAGCAGAGAATTCATTCCTAGGGGACTACCTGTGCACAGCTCTTAGCCGTAGCTCCCAGTGACTTTAAAGGGGATTTTTGCCCAAGTGAGAGCTGCAGAATTCCGTCCTCGAGAGGAGTTCTTCCTGTTGCTCTCTGTGGGTTACCTCTCATTGGTTGCAATTGCTGATAAAGTTATATTGCACTACTCTAACAATACTTTTTGAAAAGACTATTTAGAAATACTTTGCAAGCAAATGTATATATATTTCTCTAAAGAATTCTATGTTAGCTGCATTGCTCATGAAATATCATTCTGACTTTGTTTATTTTACAGATATGTTGATAGCCAGTTTCTGATATAACAGTTATTTTGATCTTGTTATTTGTATGTTTGAAAGAATGCCACTCAAGTAACTGTTCTGTAGAAAGTCTTAGACCTAAATATGCTCGTTACATCATGATTTTTAATTAATTAATTTGCAAAGCTTACCTAACCACCTTTTCATTATATGTTGCCCAAAGAGCAGCATACTATTGATGAAGAAAGATTCACTGACAAGCCTTCTTTGTTAAAAAAAGATAAACAAACAAGCAAAAAAAAAATTTCTAACTCGACAAAGTGCGAATATTTGTTGCCAGTTGTCACTTATGCAAAGTTCTTTGATACATTGCAAGCCTTGTATTTTCTTAATATTACCCTTCATTCTGTGTGCAATCTCCTGTTGTGTTGCTTTTTTTGTTTTGTTTTTTGTTTTTGTTTTCTTTTTTCTCTGTACTCAATTTCAAGTGTCCTATGTGGTGGTAATGTCTTGACTTATACACATTTACTGCATTAAACACAGTTTTAAGCATCTCTATACTAATAGCAGGAAGCATCTTTTTTTGAAGTTCTACAGTATCATTTTCCCTGAGTGGCATGAAGGACAAGTGAATGAAAGCACCATATTTCTTTGTGCAGGATTTCAGTGTTTTAAGCTCAAAAACATGTAAGTGCATGGACAGAGGAAGGAGGCCACGAGTTTGTTGAAACTTGCTAAGCTTCTGTTAATGCCTCAGTCTTTTAAAGCTGATCTCACTGGAAATGCAATGCACAGAAGTAGGACTAACTCAGAACACACTATCATTTTTAACTGAGGTCTCTACTTGCCAAAATAGAACATTATAAAACTATGTTTTAAAATAATTTAATTAGTCTGAGCCCCTTTTCAATATTTAAGTTTATCTCTGTGGGAGAGGCCTCTTCAGAGATTTGATCCTGCCTTATACTGTAAATACTTCAATGTATCTTCAATTTCCAGTTTGGCTCTAAAGTCAACTTCTAACCTTGTGTGGTAACCCTCTAACTTATAACCTTCTGATTTGTCTGGTATTATTCCTAAATAACTTGTCCATATGTAAACAATCAGGATTGAACAATGTCTATCATTATCATGAAATTCTTTCTGCTCTAGGGAGAGAAAGTTTAACAGCTTCATTTGGGTCCACACTTCAAGCAGGTGTTGGAACACTTGGTGTCCACTGGAGGCTATTTGTCTGAAGTTCTAGTTCCATTTCTGCTGCTACCTCAGAGTACAATCAGAAGATGCAATTGAAACAATAACAAAAAAGGGACAAAGAGAAATTCATTTCTCTTTGGGACAAAGAGAAATTCATTAAGAAGGCCACATATGTGCTAACGTGTGCTTTAGCATCAAGAGGAAGAGCCGTTGGACCTGACAGCAATGCACTAATGTATTTCATTCCAGGGTAGCCCAGGAGTTCAAAGCAAGAAAAGAAGGGAAAAATTTATTCTCTAGTCAGCATTAGACCACGTACCAGCCACTCAAAGCGTGGTGAGACATTCGCAGCTCACTCCCCAGCAGCAAGAGATCCCTACCTGCAGAAGGGCACATTCCACCTACGCCTCCTTTCCGTGCTCAGCTGCAGAAGTCGTGCTGGCAGCCAGACACAGGCTTCTTTACATTTCTGAGCCTGCTTTTCTTTTGAGGACAAACTTTTTCCTCCCAACTGGGCTAATTTCCAGATTGCTGTGCAGCTGCTTCTATTAAAGCTGATAATCTCCCACCCCCACCTAAACTGCAAATTTTCAGTAACTACCTCTTCCTTTGGAATTTTTCTGAAATCTCGCAGAGGTGAACAACCAAAGATTTTTAAGACATACACAGTTGCAATTATAGGTGTTTTTCAGTGTGAAGGACTGGATTTCCATTGCTTTGTGCCTAATTAGAGTACGGAATAAAAGGAATGTATTTTCTGACACTTAAAGGAGAAATTCAACTACTCCCAAATGAAATGCGATCTTCAGATGTCAACCGAGAAAAAGTGAAGGCTTTAAAAGAACAAACTGCTCTCCACTCGGTCACTTGCACCTGGTTGAAAGCATCATGCAATTGGCTGATCAGTGGAGAGGGAAGCAGAAGGACTGAGGGTGAGGATGATGTTCATTTAGGCACAGAGTGGCTAACCTCCAGGTGGTGCTCTCCCTCTGCTCTTGGTAGGAAAAGAAAAGATCCTTCTCTTCCTACCAAAAAAGTAATTAATCTGCCCTAAACAGCCTTTATCTCTCCATATTTCTCCAGGTTTAAAATATGGTGAACTGCTTCAGTTGACTAGGCTTAACCTTTGTTGCAAATGCTACATCTTGTCCTTTGAAAGCAGCCTCTCTCTCAGGAAAAAAAAAAAAAAAAAGGTTGTAGCACAGCTGCTGCCAGCCCTAGAAGATGTGAACAAGTGTAGGTCAGGTCATCTGATTGGAAGGTTTGATACTTTTTGCTGCAACAGGCATTAGAAGGTTTTCGCCCCTTTCGTGTCAAAGTAATCAATCAAGAGAAGGCATGTTTCTCACAAACTAAGATTTTTAGATCTTAATTAAATTAAAAATCCATGAGCTATCACTGTGAAAAAAAAAAAAAAAAAGGAAGAAGGGAAGGGAAAAATCTTAACTATCCACTTAACTATCCATTGCACAGGAAACATTGTACTTCTGGAGCATAATTTCTTTTTTGTTAGTAAGAACTTTATGCTCAAGGAATGCCAGATGTAGCAATGGAACAGGACAATTGCCAGTTCTATTGAATCTTGAGAGTCCAACTCAAATTTCTGAAAGTTTGAAATTGACTTTTTTTTACTAAGGGGGACCAAAAAATACATGCAGCCATGTTTTTTCTTCTCATCAGTCTCAGTGCTGAATTAAATTTAAATGTCAAAAGCTTTTTCTTTTTTTTTTTTTTTTTATGCTTCAGATTTCACAATATAAAAGCTATAATCCTTAGCTATGATTCATACAATAATAAAGATTTTTTTTTTTTAATTTTAATCTAATCAAAAGTAACACTAAAAATGGCTTTTCTTGCTCAGCTTTTGATTAAATTACAGGAGGTGATTAAAGGAAAGGCCACAATGTTGATCATTGATTTCTTTTTGATTAAAGAGTGCAGAGTAATATTTTCTGGAGTCATTTAATAAGTTGATATTGCCTGACCTTCTGTACCCTGACATAAAGACATATTCCTACAAAGTTTACTTTGCATAATTGTTCATATTACACATGATCTTTCTTAAGAATGTCAAAAAAAAAAAAAAAGCCTTTTAGAGCCACAACTGATGCAGAAAGATCCCCAGTCAAAAGTAGCAAAGAAAGTGCAGACACATTGCATGATTATGCAAAAACATGATCAAATTAATAGGGAATAAGCACGGAGCAGCTGCAAGGAAGAGAACAAGAGCTGGAATTCAGCTACTGCGTCATCACAATTGCCACAAGTATAAGGACTTTGAAAAGAAAAATGAAAATATCAAATAAATGCCATGTGGCATCATTGCTAGATACGACTGGAAGAGGGGAGGAGAGCCATTTAACTAACCTGATGGATTATTAAAACCATCACTGGTAAACCGAATGGCTAGGAAGTATAACTTTAATTCTTGCAGATTTCTTTAAAGACTGGGATTCATTTAAATGATGGAACTCTACTTGCAATATGTCTGTAAATGTAAGTGCCTCACTTAGAAGAAAGTTCAATGACAGGAATTCGCTGTGAATACAGTTCTGGAAAGAATGGGAGACCTCTTGGAAAAGCTGGGAGAAGAATTACGGTGGAACCAGCCTTCCTGCTGTCCTTCCCTTCCCAATACAGCCACAGCAATCCCTCCTGGCACCTCTAAGAGCACCACATCCCAAAGCTGTTGTTACATCCACACCTTGCTTTCCAGCTTCCACACGGTTTTAGTCTCTTCTTAAGGTCAGTTGTTGCTGACTGCATGCTGAGGAGTTGGTCCCATGCCTGCCAGTGCCAAGGCCCACTCCTTCCCATCCTCCTTGAGACCCTGGCCAGCAGTCTCTAGACAGCCAAACTCAAGGCTACTGCACCTTACCTCTTCTCCTTTATTTCCTGGCAGTTCTGATAGGACCAGTTACACCTTACTGGGGACTGCCGCTCTCTGCCATATCATGTTCTCCTGTTGCTTCTCCTCATTTTTCTTTTTGTTCTTGGTAGGCTTCTCCTTTCTCTCCCATGCAGAAATTCTCTTTGTCTTATTCATCCTCTTATAGACCTGATTCCTAGGCAATATGTCCACAAAACTTCACCTCCCTCTTCTTGGTCCCCTGCATCCGGACTCTGTCCATCCCCCACACCACATCAGAGTTAGGCCCAGCCTTCAAGTTGGCTGTGAGCTCTTCGGAAGTGGTCTTTGGGCTGGTGGTCACAGGTTGGTCTTTTCAGAGCACGTAGACCTCCCTGAAATGCAAAAGCAGTTAAAGTCAGTACGGCATGAGAGCTGAAGGACAGAGGACTTCAGGAGGATCAGGCCACACACTCTTCTCGCAGTGACCCCACTATCCGTAGCAGGATTTTTTGTTTCTATGCTCCAATCTAGCCTCTTCTTCCTGCTGCTCAGCATGTTTTTACTGCTGTGGTGGGTGTTGGTGGGTTGTGAAATGGTTTGAAATTGTTTCCAATGAAAGTCAGTCTGGAAATGAAGAATATGAGATGAGAAAATCCACATTTAAAGGAAGCAAATCTCCTCTGGGAGTTCTGTAACCATTCTATATTATATATATTTATATATATATATGCATCTTACTGTCTGCTACTTGATTCTGAAATGTCTGCGTTTACAGTCTTGCTCCATTCCAGTTAGATCTGTACCTCTGTATGACTTCAAAATCAAATCACAACGGGCATTTGACTTTGGAAAATAAATTAACAGAAAACCATACAAAAGCAGAAAACCTATAGTTTGTGAAGAGTTGTGTTTAAAGTAGGTAACTGCAGCAAAGTATGGGTTGGAAGAAGATGCTCTAAGGAATCTTTAATGGTGGAGAACTAGTTTTCATTGTGCACTTTGCTGTTCTCAGTTAAGTCCTGAGGTTTACAATTAAATACAGTCCTATGATTTTTACAGTTTGGCCTCTTCCTCTGCAGCACAATGCAGAAGCTGCACTTTGACCAGACACTCTGCAGAACAAACAGTGGCATTTTAAAAAGAAATGAATTTTTGAAGTAGTTGACACTTACACTTGATGCCAGAACTGTCAAATGCCAGGAAGTTTAAAGCCAGGGCTTCTGTTTACCTTTTGATTTAAGTTGTGATAAAGCAAAGGGAGAGGTGAAGAGAGGATCTGGAGTCACGCAGTGAGTTTGCACCAACCTGTCACTGGTAGGAAATTGGGCTCACGTATTATTGAGGATACAGATTGTTGGGAGCTTGATGTGTGCAGTCTCTGGAGCTGCAGATGCTCGGCACAGCTGACAGTAGCTGAGATTAGAAGATCAGGGTTATAACAAAGGAGCCATTAGGTGCATGCTTACCTTTCTGTGAAGGGGCTTATATAATGTCTGCCCTGCTGCCCTGTCTCCAGCTGGTGCATTAGCTCATTGTTTTTGTGAGTGCTAATTTAAATGACCTACTTTAAAAATGAAAATGGCAACAGTGCCCAGGAAGGATGAACTCTCAGCCCTAATTCTGAATTTCTTGTGTTTTCTCCTTCTCAGCCTGAACATTAAATCCTCTTTTTGCTTTCAGTACACAGTTGGGGAAATGTGACAGACTCCACTGTAACTATTTGACAAGTTCCTAGCGTTTAGAAATACCAGTTCCTACACTGATATTTTGTTTTCATTCATTTGCACACACCCCTACAGAGCGTGCATTCAGCTAAGTACACATTCCCCTGGCATTGTGCACCATGTAACAGGGAAACTCCATGCATCTCAAATTCTCTCACCAAGTAACCAAATTCTGTGGTGAAAAATATATGCAAATTCCCATATTATTTCCAAATAATGTGCTTTAAAAATCATTTCTCATTCCTACAGTCAGTACTGAAAAACATTTGACAATTTGTCTTTTAATTTCAGTCCCGTTCACCCTTCTACCAGAGATAAACATTTAGCCATGGAATGAAGAGCTAGAGACATCAAGTGTGTGTGGACTTCATATAATACACACTGCTGTTAAATGAGGGGAAAAAATAAAATAGAATTAATGCAAATCAGTTTGTTAAGCCAGGGAATGAAGCTAAACTGAAGGTGGGCAGGTAGGAGTGCTCTTGGCACTCCTGGCTGGAACTTTAAATAGAAATCTGCGTAACGTGGATTTAGCAGGTGATAGCAGCGCTAAAGGCCTTGCAAAACTTCTGTAGACGGTGTATGAGGTGTTCAGAAACAAGTGTCTTTTGAATGATGGAAGGAGAAGGCTTAAAAGCCTGCAAGGTTCAGGGTCAGAGAGGATATGAAAGCATCCTCCCACTGAGCCCCACATCCAACATCCTAACACGGGGTCATGCAAAAGAGCAGGTGGCATCCTCTACACGTCCTGTCTGTCACAGGGAACATGGATGGGAAAGGCAGTCTGATGTGACAGCACTTCAGAAATGAAGACCAATCCTCCATACAGATGGATGAAATTCTTAAAATTTCTCACAAACTGTAAAGACTTTTTCTGGGCCATCTTTCCAGTCAATAAAAATCTGACTGCGCTAGCAGAGGCAGGAAACAGTTGCCCAGTGAGATGTTTGCTAAGGCCCTGAAAGCATTGCAAAAGTTGGCGAAGAGAAGATGTCCTCTACCTGCAGCATGCAAAGGCCAGCAGCTGTCATACTGCTGGAGGGCTAGTACAGAGGTTTGGAGCTTGGGTAACTTGGATAACAGCCGACCCTGTGGCAGCTCCTTGGCTTGGCTGTAGCCAATGGCACTTCCCAAGCTGGAGAGGCCTCAGTGGCCTCAAATGCACACTGCACATTTCCTAGCAGTATGATGTGGCCAACGTGGGGCTATCCAGATGAGAGAGGAGACCTGGCTAACTAGAGCAATGACCCTCTGTTGGCTTGCTGCAGAAACTGGTCCAGGGCCACTGGTGTGGGAGACAGCAGGGGCAGGAGACAGCTGGCAGCCTCAAGGGTGATGCTTCTGGAGGGCAACAGGAAGAGATCTAACTAAAAACAGAAAATCATTGTTTCCTTTTCATATGGATATTGCAGAGACATCAGTCTAGTCTTCGTGTGCACCCCTGCAGGAGAAAAGAGAACAAACGTTTCCTCCCCTTGAGAAGGTGCTCTGGCTTGTAGAAGCTTCTGGGAGAGTGTACAGTTTTGAAAGATATGTGTAATACTTATTCTGCTTTCTGAAATGAGTCTTCCGCATAGGCATCCACTTCGGGGAAATACATGGAAAC